TGACTACTTGGTGTAAAATATCAGCACAAGGACCTAGGGACAGTGAAGGCTGTACAGTGTTGGTGAAAATAGGGGAGAGAAAGCAAAAGAGACTGAATTTCTAATCTGTTCTGTGCTTCCTCCAGGCATATGTATGCTCCTAGCAATAAGCCTATTAAAAGAAAAAGTTTGGATGGGGATATAGCATACATCTGTATGGGACTGGTGGGAAGGAATGAGAAGTGAGGATGTCTAAATTTAATATAAAGCAATAAAATATATTGAGAAATTTCACAGGTGTTTTGTGAATGTTAAAACTCCAGATGCCAAATTTATGAAGATCTCAGTTTCATTTGTTAGTACACTTCTCACCAGTAGTGGAATTATCTTACGTTTCGGCAGATGGGGCACTGGAATACACAAATGCACTGTGGCAAGAAGAAAGGGTAAGCTAAATTCTCACACCATAATAACAAAGGGAGCAAATTATTATTATATCACATTTATAGCCTGCTATTCTTCCTCTTGTGAGGAACACACAGTGGTATATTTAGCTTTATGTTATCCTCACAACAACAACCCTGTGATGTAGGTTGGGCTAAGAGCATGCGACTGGCCCAAAGTAACCCAGTAAGCTTCATGACCAAGTGAGGACTATAACCTGGATCTCCTAGGTAGCACAAATGCCCAGAAATCACTGGGACCCCAGTCCTTTAACCACACTACACTTGTTCTCTTTATAGCTTAAAACCTGTAATTATGGAACCAGGATTTGTGAATAAGCCCATATCCAGGATACAAAAGGGAGAGCTCCCATCTTATTCTTATTCTTATTTGGAGCAAAGAGAAAAATACTTACCATTCCACTGACTACAACAGGATAATTAGGCATATGTTTAAATCTTTCAAAAGGAAGGTAGCACATATGCCCAGAAACCACTGACATGGCTAAAACCAGTGTCAAACAAACTATTAGAGAGAGAAAAAATGTTTCCTTCAGAAAATGGAAGTTTTGTCCAAACGAGAACAAAAAGGAACAGCAATATCTGACCAACATTCTTCAGAGAATATTTTTAAAATATGTGTCATCAAAATCATCAGAAGAGTTTTGAGGGGTGAATTTGCTTATTTAGTAACATGGGATTCATTAAAAATGAAGTAAATTTAAAACTTGGATCCTACTGCAAGTCAAATCATATCGAATCACTAATGCCTTATGTTTATTATGTTATATTTCAACAACTGGTACAAAGAAGATGCTTTAGAGAGTGGGCCCAGCTTTCACATATTACAGTCTTTGGGTTCATCTGATTCTGAGAAAGAACCAGAGAGGTAGGGTTGGCCAGACTCTGCAGCGTTAAGGTTACCTAAGTGAAGATTCCGAGACGAAGTGTGAGAAATAACCCCACCTTGGATAAGAACTGGGGGGGGGGGGAGCAGATTGGCAAGAAGTACCTTGAGCTGGCCAGGAGATGACAGGCAAAATGAGCAGACCAATTAAGGTGTCTGGCATTCCTGTCTTCTAGCCCTCAAGCAGCAGGGGCCACCCTGAAGGTGGGAGTCAGAATCTTTTTGGAAAGGGAAAGGAGGAGGAGGAGTCAACTCTTTACATGGGCAGATGTTTCTCTCACATCTCAAAAAAACTGCTACATTTATTTACACTATTTCAGAACTGGATATGCTCCAATGAAAAGATTGTGCTTCTATGTTCTCATCTAAGGAAAAGTGGGAGGAAGAAACCTGCTCATGATAGATGCAGATCTTGTTTGCTTGCAGGAAAAAGACAAAAGTCTTTGGCTATTTTGGATGCCCATCCTCCCATCCGTTAATATTGATTATGGTTAGCAGAAACAAGTCTTCAAAACATAGTTTTTAAAACTGACTTGTTTTCACTGACCGTTATTAAGATTAGTCACATGCTGGGGTTTGGACAACATGCTAAACTGCAGTTAATCTAAAATTGGAAGTTACAGGGTTCCCTCTCTTCTTCAATGCCTCACCAGAGGAATAGAGTATAAGGGAGCACATGAGGTAAAACTTGTTTACGTATATCTAAATGCAGCCCCTGTTAGGTATAAGCTGAGTCTGAATCTCATTTCAGCAAAGAAATCTGGCTGAGAAAAGAGAGTTGGATTCTACATAGGACTGTTCTCAAATGTTCTGTCCACCTTACCAGTTCTAGATGCAAAACTGAAATCTAATTACAATGCTCAGAACCCCCATCTTGTGGCCCCTCCCATACTGAACATCCCACTGGTTTTAGTTTCAGACATTCAAGTGGTAAGATCTGTTCCTTTAAAAGTCTGGAGTCAGACATGTTTTTGTCCTCATTAAGAATTAGCATATTGTTTACACAAAAGCAAAACAGGCCAGTTAGGAATAAATCATTACCAAAGCAATTCAGGCTGTGAGGCCTTATTCCAGTTTAAGTTAATATAATTTTAATGAGCACTTCAGAAAAGGGATATGATGCTTTGGAAAATGTTCCTAATTAATATCAGGCCTTAAATTAGGAATAACAAAAAAAGGCAGTATCATTTGGTCTCAAGCTGGAACTCAAGTATATTTTGGCATCATTACTAACTGTTAGCAGCAAGTTCTCAAAACAGATGCAAATCCTGATATGTGCCCTAAATATAAAACACATTGCAGAAAGAAGCTGAGATAAAACATATATCTATGCACTCACACATTGACTGCATTGCACAATTTCCTGTACCAGCAACAAATATATTCCTTTTAAGAATGTTCCACTCTTTTCCTTTCTTCAACTAATAATTTTTACACAGCAAATTCCAAGAGTGTACAAGGTCCCTTCACTTTTCCTGTCACAAGTTTTCCTGCTTTCATCCTTTCTTATAGATATTAAATAAATTAGAAATGCACAATATTTTTAAAAGATCAGATTGTGGCCTGAATCTGGAATTGAAAACCTAAATCCTAGAAAAACACATCTGAATATCATGGCCAATATTCCTAAAGCAGGAAGGCAATCATACTTTAAAGCCTTTGAACAATGACTGTAATGAAAGTTTCTAATCCAGAAAGAGATTCTCTGTTGATATTTATTCATTCATGCCAAAGATGACACTCAACTTGAATTAAACTAATGATGGGGATGTACTAAAAAGGACATGGAATGGCCATTGAAATCCATTGGTTCATTCAGAATGGCTATAGAAAATCATGTTTTAGAGACTGTCACCAAAGCAAAATACTTGCTAGAGGTTTAAACTTGAAATTAAAATACTTGCCTACACAGCCAGATTTATTTATTTATTTATTTATTTAGTGAACCCTGCTCCTTAATTGTTGCATTCTCTATCTCTCTTGAATAACAGGGTAAAATACTGTGTTCATTTCTTTTTCAAACATCACAAAGTATATTATTTTTGTAAATATATATTCTAAACTCCCTATTAAAAATGTCCATCCTGACTGCATTTTGCTCATGCACTTTGGTGCAATGTGCAATGGTGCTCCACACAGCTCAGAAGTCCTACTTCCATAGCTACATAATCATTTTCTTTGGAAAAAGATATGAAGAAGAGGCCAGCAGAGGAATCAAAAGCAAAGTGGCAGTGCAGGCAGTTCACTTGCTCATTTCACTCTGATGGTAGGACTTCAGAGCACTTTGGCTCTTCCACATGTTAGGTACTCATGTCTGAATGCATATGGACAAGAGCGCACTGCACGGCAAGAGACCTCCACAGCTGCAGCAGTCCCAGCTTTGCCAATTCCCCCGCAGGTACTGCCAGAGGCAAAGCTGCAACCGTAGCTGATTTGACAACCCTAAGCTATGCAGGCTATCAGGAGACCTGCAGCAAGTGAAGATGGGCTAAAGCAAAACCAATTATGTGGGGTCCAGTTCAAGCAGAAACATGTTTCACAGTTAGAGGACAGGAGATGGCTGGCTGGCGTTTCTAGAAGCTATGAATTCAAATCTACTCAATGGTACAAAAACATACTGAACAGCTGACCCCAGAAGGATATTTGCTGTCCTTTCTTTGGAAAAATTAAAAAATCCCATCTCTGAAATAAAAGAAATGGCACTAATGAAATCCTATATGCCTTTTGGCTGTGGTTCAGTCTGTCAGAGATGCACGGAAATAATATTTATATAATTATATGTCTTAGCTTTTTAGAAAAGGAAAAAAACCCCAAGATTAGACATTTAGCTGGCCAGGAGGCAAACAGGTGAATGAGAGGAGAGCGCTTGAGACAATAGCTCAGGCCTAGAAAAGCTGATGTGGAGGGCAAGAAGACTTGACAGGCCTGAGCCCTTCATACTTGAACAACTAACCATAAGGCATTGCTTCTGTTGCCCACACTTCAGGCAGGTAGTACCCACAACTTTCCCTGCGAAGCTTCAGTGGGGTCAGCACCATCAATTAGTTTTTATATAGTAAATACAGAAGATGATAATTTTATGCCATGTTACAATTACTTTACCTAGAAATGGGTCACTTGTATGCATAAAGGCATATGCATTACTTTAATATGACTGATACTAGTGTCAGTATTATTTAGTGTACATTTCTACAATTTCTTTATATCAGTCCACTGAGTAAATAGTCAAATCAATTCCCAGACTGATTTGATCTTGACAGGAGTACTTAGTATACAGTACCTAAGTAAAGAGGCATTCTTAAATTATTATCATCAGGGGGATGAAGGCCAGTTCTATAAAGACCACTTACAGTAATGGGTATGCCAATTTATGAAAGCTCAAATAAGGTGTTAGGAGGCAAACAGACAGAAAATGTGTAACTCTTTACATAAAATCGACAGAGCAAAGCATCCCTTCAGAAAATAGTGTGAAGCAGAGCAGACTGAAGCCATAAGATACTGTGACTTCCAAGCAATATTCAAGGTACAAGGCCAAAATCAGATGGGAAGGTGTAGCTCACCAAGCACCCCCAGCTGTTTTTGCTAACCTGAGGATGAGGGATTTTGCCTGAACAGTCCTGGTCTCCCTTTCCTAACTAAGGTAACTAGTTTAATCCAAACACAGTCTTTACCTGAGAGCCGCCTGGGCACATCGGTGATGGCAGGAAGACCCGTGCCTCGTGTGGAGGACAGGGGAGTTGTGGAATGAATGGATGGTGAAGTCATCTGGCTCAAGTATGATGGGTAAGACTGGTCATAGGACCATGGAGGGGATGACTGTGCTTGTCTGGGGTCTAAAAACAAAACAAAGGAGAAAATAATTTAAAATGAAAGACTTACAGAAAGGAACAGCCAATGGAGTGAAAGGGCCTAAGTACCATTTTGTAGAAAATGGGAATGGGTAAGAAGTAAGAACTCCAAACACTTGGCTCTTTTTCTTCATGGCGTATCTCATGCTGCTTGCAGCTACCAAAATTAGTCAGATTCTCAAGAGATGAAACTAATAGCACAATGCTATACATATTTACTCGGAAAGCAGTTCCAACTGAGCTCAGTGAGACTTACTCTAAGAGCAGCTACATTTGATTTCAGTCTTAAGACATATGAACTGAATGCACAATCAAATGCATCCCAATAGGAGCATTAGCTTCTACATCTGGCCTTGATGGCAGGAAAAGGGGGAACCTCATAGGGATGGTAATTTAACCTAGGTTTAAATCTCCAGTAAGAAAGGATATAAAGGGAGTGGATGTAAAATACATGTAAATAGAGAAAGCTGATTTAGAAGTCTTCAGGGTAATGAAAAACTGAAGGAACAGAGCAGGGGTAAATCAGCAACGAGAGCAGGTAACTCAGTTAGGGTTCCTTTTGTTTCAAAACTGCTGGAAATTCTTGACTCTTCAGATATATCTTATTATTGCAAGTCCCATCATGGATGTTGCAGGCCTGCTAATTGTTTTCATCTGAAAGAACAAACTCTTTCTATTCAGAGGAATGTACACATTTGAAGAAGCAGGGCTGGAGATGGTTGGTGGGTGTGAGCAGAGAGTGGGACTTCCCTCTCATCTTTGAGACAACCCTCTAAGGAAAATATCAAAACAATGTGCTGAAGATACCTCTTGGAAACCCAGCTTCCTTTTTTGAAACAAGCTGGATCTGAACCTGACTTCAGAGGCAGGATGAAACATGAACATTTTATCCGTTTCTGCTCTAATCCAGTTTTAACATAAAATGAAAGGTTCTGCAAAATTTAAGAAGGTCCTCTTATACTGTGCCTATTGGTCCATCTTGGTTAGATTCTACACTAGAGCTCATTTCATCTGGCAGGTGCTGCTGGTCCAGTATCTTTTCAAAATGGAGTTGCTGTGCAAGGGGCACACAGTAATCAGTACAGCACATAGAAACAGAGCAAGTCAGAAGGGACCTCCCAGCCCATCTAGTCTGACCCCTGGCTCCAGCCGGCTCCGCTCACAACATGCCCACCATGTGCATGTTCAGCCTGTCTTTGAACTTCCTCACCAATGGGGCCTCAACGACCTCCCGTGGAAGCCCATTCCATACCCGTAGAAGCAAAGGGGCAGCCATGTTGGTAATGCAACTGCTATGCACACATACATGGCATCGTAATTGTGGGAGAGCTGAACACCAGAGGCGTGTGATGGGGTTAGCGTGCTAGGGCTGAAACACTGAATCTTCCATTCTGGGCCCCTTGGCTCTGGAAGACCATTCCTGGACACCTGTTTAAATCAAGGTACAGGGACTCTGTTGCTCTCTATTGCATTTCATCCCCATGCCCAGCTCAGCTGGCTTTTTGCCCACATGTGATTCACCTCCTGCTGCCCCCCCCCCAATCTTTCTGTCTGAGATTTTTTCCTTTTCTCAAATCAAATGCCCTCCTCCCCCCGTCTGAACACCTCTTTTACACGCACATACATGCACATGCATGCATGCACATACACTTTAAAGCACATGTAAATTAGCATATGCATATTTGTCCTGGGGGGAAGTCCTGTGGCCTGAGCCAGACAACCTTCCTGCATCTAGCACTGCCCATGTGAAACACTTGTATGCATTTTATCTTTTACAATGCAATAATGTGCTACAATTGTTGGGAGGGCATGCTATAGTTCCAGTTTCCCATTTCATTTCATTTCACTTTTTATATTGGCTGGGCTTGCAAGATATGCTAAGCCACAGTGGCTATGAAGCTATGGTAGTTACGAAGCCACAGTGAGGAAGTATGTCATCTGAATCTGGCATGACTCCCAGGAGACTTATAACCCAACCCAACAAGCCATCACTTGTATGGTTTGCTTGACCCTCTTTGGCTTGTTGTGTCATCTAAACCTGAACAAATGACACAACCAGCCGTGGTTAAGCAAAAAATGTAGCACCACTTGAGCCAGCGTGGCTAAAAGGCTAGCAGGTTTAGCTAAGTGATTAGTGGGCAACTGGCATTGCCAGTCACAGTGGCACTTGGGGGTAGCTGCCAAAAGCTGCCCCCCATTCCACTGCTATCACAAGTCCTTCTGATCTTCTACAACTTCATTTAAAAAGGAGGGGTCCCAATGGGGACATACAAAGATGCCTTTCCAAGGACCCCCAGTAGTACTTTGGAGGTGCTTCCCATGGTCCTTCTACTTTTCAATTTTTTTCAGTTGTCCTCTTTCTGCCAACACCCACCTTCCCCTGCTCCTAAATTCCCTGTTCACACAAATTGGTCAGGCAGAAGTAAAAACAGGGGTACTCTAGGGTAAGATAGGATGGGAGGGGGGTTGCCCGATAAAACTGTTCCCAAACCTCTCCAATGCCTTGCAAAGCCTCCAGTTAAGTACTTCTCCCTCCTGGATGCCCCCATTGGAATAGCAAAGGAGGAGCTGATGGCATGTTTTCATGGTCTCAGGATTTCATGCTAAAAAGGGATGGGGGCAAGACACAGTGAAGCAAAAATGGCTCATGACCACAGTGGGCAGTAGGGGGCATCGTCACTCTCCCATGGGTTCCTCTCAGATAGCAGCAGAAGGAGCAAGGTGGTAGGGGTGAGAGAGGTGGCTTTGGAGACACAATGCGCCTGATTTTCATCGAGGCACACTGCAGCACTTACAGCAAAGAAGCCACTGTGCATGGCTTGTTAAGCCAAAGGCCTAAGGTGTCATGCTGCAAACCCTCCCATCACCAGGAAAGGCACTAGAATAGATTGGTCCCAGCTCAGGACTGGCTGGCTGCAGTTCTCCAGAGTGTCAGGCAGGAGATTTCCCCAGTCCTACCTGGAGAATGCATGGACTGAAGCCAGGACCCTTTGGCACATGAAAGCATCCACTCCACCACAGAGGTTCAGCCCTTAGTGAGCCAACTGCAGTCTAAGCAGAAACATGCCAGGGATCCCTTTAGTATTTGTGTGGGAAAAGGCACATCTGGATAGCATCACTGTAACAACAGGTCAGCATAACAACATATAGCTACTTGGATTCAAGTAACTAATCCACACCTAACCCCCGCCCCATATGCCCATTTAGCCCCCTATTTTGAATCATTCCCATCTTTTGTTTCCTATGAAGGTAGCTATTTGGCTGAGTTTCATTTGCTAAGACAATACTATGTCTGTACTGTGAGGTTTGCAAACTCTTTTAGTTTTCAAGTAATCTGGTAATGAAAACAGAAACTCCTGATCAACATTTGTTACCCCTGTACTGGTTAAAAAACACATCCTGTGTAAGAGAACTTACTTTGCAATAATTATACAACTTGCTGCCACTGCAGTAATATTTGTATTGTTCCAGAGCCTTTCTGCTGTTTGCAAAGCAGCAGATCAATTCCACCTTTTATTCAAGCTATATCTTAAGGGAGTTTCTGATTTGCAGACATAAACCAAATAACTAACTGGCTGAAGAAATACCACATCTTCATCTGATTATTAGCAAATCCACTTTCTTTTCTTTCATACAAAGTAAGTTTCAGCCTCCCCCTGCCCCACCCTCTGTTCAAATATGAAGAGATGCTACTTCCATAAAGCAAGTAACTATATTAGATAAATAAAGGGGAACCCTTTCATGTGGGGGAGGGGTCCTTCACTCCCCACCTGAAGGTTCCCCTTTAGGAACCTATAAGCATGACTCAAAGGGATAGCATTTGTATTTATTTTATTTCTTATATTTGCTGTATTTGCAGGGCTCTACAAATTTGCAGTGCTGGTTGACTACTGATATGATAGAAGCATACAGTATTTCCTCTACAGCACATCAGTAATATAATTCACTATTTGGAGAAGGTGAATCACACATTTAGAAAAGGCCTAGAAGGCTTCAACCCCCTGCCCAATGCAGGACCCAAGTCTCCCATCCAGTCTAACCAGACCTGATCCTGCTTGATTTCCACGATTAGGCAGGATCAGGCACTTTGAGAGATACTGAAAGAGCATTTGGGGATTCACATGGTTCTTTAGTCCAAACTGAGTTTATTACTACTTCAAACCAAGTGAAGGATAACCAAGAACCTATATTCCACTGTAAAAAGGAATTATCTAAAAGATTCCAGTGATGCTACAATTACTGATGCAGCCATTACTAACTTGTAAAGCTTACTTCAATGAAGAGGCAAACTTTAAGAGCTCCCAAATTCTATTTCAGTTTGGGATGGGGTAAGAAGATGAAGCTTCACTTTGTACACAGTGCTCATAACTTGGGCCACTGGATTGGAACCCAGTTTGCACCTTCACTGCATCAAGTTAGCATTACCGTAGAGCCCTGGACTAATACAGAGCACACATATCCAGGTAGTAGAGCCTATGAGGCGGGCTGAAAGGGCTTGATTTTGTTAGCATACAAGAGAACCTCAAGTACAAATATATGCTTAAATATACAAAAGGATCTTAGAAAAAATGAGAATGCCAGGTTGCAGGGGCCCTGGCCTGGCTTTCTTCCTGCTCTGCTGCCCTACACTCTCCCAGCTTCCCCAACAACCATTGTCCACTGTGTCCTGCCAGCCGGGCTGCCCTCCTGGCCCAGCTTCCCACCCCCCACACCCCCTACCTTTCTCATTACTCTCCTTCCTTTAAAGGAGCAGTGGAGAGTGATGCTGCCACCTGTCCTGGGAGTGTGGCCTCAGACTGCCTGGAGATCTGGAACAAACTGCATCTCTCTCTGAAAATAACTGGGGATATTCTAAATGTTTCAGTTTATAGATATGATAGCAGCTCTTCCTAGAATAGGGCCCCCTGGAAGTGTTGAACTACAAATCTTGACTATGTGCCATTCTAGTCCAAAGTGTCCAGAGAGTTCCAGCTTGGGGAAACTGC